CAACATGCCATATATATTATTACTATTTTACATTTTTTTGGTTCATTAAATACCATAGAATTTTGTTTATGATAAAAACTTTAACCTCCACCCAATGAAGTGATGATAATTTATTATTTCGTCATCTTACCTTATAATTAAATATGTCAATTTAAGTTATTTTTAATTATATTAGAAATATACGTAAGTGATGGGACTTATTACATTAATATTATATATAAATAATATAAAAGTATGCTAAATATAGTATTATTATAAGAGCAATAACATTATCTAATTTACAATAACTAATGCACCCTGTAGATTAAAAAAAGTATATTTAAAAAGAAAAGAAAAACAAAAGGTGCTTTTGTATTGGTGGTGGATGCCAACCGATATGGAGGGTGACTAGCCTTAGAAGGAAAGGAAAGTGGGGTGATAGTGGGCAACCGGAGTCCACTCTTCAGGGTAAAGGGCACATGTGGTTTGTGGGGTTTTTCATACTAGGAGGCGGCATATTTGGTTGTGCTGATGAGGGCGTTCAGATTCGAGTATTATTGACATGAAAAATATATGGAGTTTGCACATGCCAATGATGCAATTTAAATATTTGTAAAATTTGAGGGGCATTGAGTGAGTGGTGTCTAAGTAATTATGGACTAGCAAACTGACTCTAGATTCTTTAACTTGTTCGGTTCCCTCATGAGTCACTATAAGCTTGTCCCAAATTTCTTTAGCGGTTTTACATGTGGAAATTCTGTTGAACTCGTTGGCATCTAAGGCACAGTACAACATGTTTGTGGCTTTGATATTAATTTGGGCCATTCTAGTATCTGATTCATCCCACTCATCTTCAGGTTTTGGTACCCTAAGTCCATCTACGGTTTTGGTAGGAATTTTTGGACCATTGCAAATAATCTTCCAGCATTCATAATCATTAGATTGAACATGTATAGTCATCCTAGTTTTCCAATAACTAAAATTTGTACCGCTAAATAGTGGTGGCCTATTGGATGCTTGTCCATCAGGTAAAGAATAACTAGGGGTTGCCATGATCTACTCTAAGACGGTTAGATCACACAAACTAGAGTTTAGGCTCTGATACCAATTGTTATCCCAGATAGACAACCCAAGAGGGGGGTGAATTGGGTTGTTAAAAATTTCACAATATTAAAAATAACACAATATTCAGAATTTTAATAAATAAAAAAAACAGAACAAAAATTATCAATATAAAAGTAGGAGAGACAGAGAGAGAAAATCAAACACTGTGATTTATAGTGGTTCGGCACGCCAGGCCTACGTCCACTCCCCAAGGAACCTCCTTGAGAATTTCTTTACTATTAATTGAATAAATACACCACCAAGCTTATGGATTTGGCACAGGACTTACTCTTATCTATTGAGCCTCACTCAGCAATAAATGTCTTACCCTTACAAAATTTCTCACAAAAATAAGGAATAAGAATAAGTGGTATTTGAACCCACTTTTACAATAATTCTCTCACAAAGAGTAGATATGAAAGTGTAAGAAGAAAAGCTAGACTTAGATCTGAAAGTGAAAGAGCAGAATACAATTTGGAGCTCACAGAAAATTTTCTCTTCAAGTTTTTGATTTTTTTCCACACACAATATTTCTATTTATACACAAAAATATACCCGTTGGACGCTCCTTGCTGACGTCATGGATGACATTTATTTGTTTCAACTTTTCATCATGAGGCATCTTTTCTTTTTGTCAAACATAGTGGCCGAATTTGAACAAAGCTCACAAACATGTGGGTTTTGATTAATATATATATATATATGAAAAAAAATCCTGCAAAGTCCACATTATAAAGATATAACTTTAACATTTAAATTCAAACTTCAACATGTGAATTAAAATTTAATATGCTGCAATTTTGCAACCATTTCTTTGCGTATTATATCATGTATGATTTTTCACATGCTAATAATTAATATTTCCACACACTAATATATATGATTGCTTCCGTGATGTATGCTATTATATGCATTGTATATATAATGTTATATATATATATATATACACTACAACAAATCGTACATTTGGCGACTAAAATTGGCGACCAAACCAATTTTAGTCGCCAAAAACAGGGTGTTCGGTGACCAAAATTCCATTTTTAGTCGGCATTCATTTAGTATTTTTGGCTACCAAAGTTTTTAGTCGCCATATAGTATTATTGGCGACTAATTTGTTTTTAGTCGCTGTTTTGAACCACTTTACGCTACCAAAGTTCAATTTCGTCACCGTATGATAACATTTCGCGACAAAACTTTTTGTCGTCAAAAAAATGGGAGAAATTTTTATGCTTTTTGGAGACCAAAACAAATATTTAGTCGCTGAAGTTTCCAAATGTTTTTTTAGAGGGAAACTCATTAATATTGGCGCCTACATTTAACAAAGGATTATTTCTCTTCTGTTTGACACACACCACAGAGCAGTCGATACCAAAGCTCTGCGCCGCTGGCCACCGTCGTTCATCACCGGCGCTCGCGACCACGAACATTGCAGTCCGGCCCACCACTGATTACAGGTATTTGTCTCTCCCTCTCTATCGATCTGTGTCTGTCTGTTTGTATCTCTCTCCCTCTCCATCCCCGTGGCTCACGTGGTATTTCTCTCTCCCTCTCTATCGAAATGTTTTTGAAATGTTCTCTCTCCCTCTCTATCGATTTCGTAATCAAAGCTCTGATTAAGTTAGGGCATTTTCTGATTACAGGTATTTAGGGCTTTTTCTGATTTCGTGAGGTTGGAGAAAGAGGTTGTGAGGAAAAACACTATACAATTCATAGTAAACCAAATCAGTGAAAGTGTTTTTGTAAAACAATTTGCTTTCTGATTAAGTTTTCTACTTCTTTTCTCCCCCCCTTCTGTATCATCCCCGCTTCTCTGTATCCCTTTCTGCAAATCATCTGTTTCTCAAAGTATTCTAGTTTTTGGGTTTGTTTTTGTGTTTCAGAAAATAAAAAAAACAAACTTCAGTGGTATTTCTCGAAAGCCAGGTGTTTTCACACTAGACATCAATTTTATTTTTATTTTTTTGTTTTTGTTTTCTTTGTTTCATCAAATCACCTGCGAGGGTAGCTTTTTTGTATCCCCCTCCAGGTTGGTTCTTTTACATCTTGGACTCAAGAGGCTTATCTATTTTCAATCCTCTTTATTAGGTTTTTTCGGTATGGGTATACACTGATTACAATCCATCACTCTTGAATTCCAATGCTACTTGTGGATGGCTATACACAGAGCATGTTTGACAACTATTGAAGTTTTATTGCTGATTTTCTTGTCCTACATTGGTTTGAACAAACTCATCTAATTTGGAGTATAGATTAGTCGCTCAAATTGTTTCTAAATATAATTTTTGCTTCCATACACAAATCAATTCAATATTCTGCGAGGCAAGTCAATTTCTTAACCTGGGATTTTTCATCTTTCTGTATTTTTATTTATTCATTTATTTTTTGAGCAGATGGGCAATGTTTGGTTTTGCTGTTGGGATGCTAACAGAGTATGCAACAGGCTCAGACTTCGTTGATCAAGTAAACATTCTTCTCTCCATTTTCGGGATTGTAGACTTGGAGTAACTTATCTGTTTGATTTCCAATGCTACAAATACGTACTCTCTGTTACATGTAATTTCTGTAGTTAAATCCAATGTTTCATCTCCCGCTTTTTTTGAGTAAATTTTCAATTTTCATTTGTTTGAATCACTTAATTATCTGTATTCTCACTATGTACATGAATTTCAAAAAACACAAATTTGTTGTGTGTAATTTGATCATTTATTATCACTGGGTCCATGACACTAGTTCAAAATTAGATCATTTATTTCTTAACTATTGAAAACAGTGCTAGAACAATTGATGTTACTAGACTGACTCACTCAATAATACCTTCCAATTGATAAATGTGCCTGCTTGGATTTATAGTGTTGATTTGCAATGTCATGTGATAAAAAATAAAAACAATAAATTAAAGAAAAGTTGCAATTTTAAATTTATCTATATTTATTTTATGTTTGATTTTTCTATAGTTAATTATGCTGACGGATAAGCATAAATTTCAAAACACCAATTGTCATTTCGATGCCAAAACATTGACATTTCAACTTACAATGATATAAACTTTTAAAAAAAAAAAAAAATGTATTTAGGTTAAGAAACAGGTTGTTCTTTGAATTGTATAGTGTTTTTGAAATGTATCTACTTTTAATGTCTGTCTATTGAAAGCTCATTTATATGTGTATGCTTTTTCAGTTCTCTACTTTGTCTGCTTTACCAGCTTTACTGATGATTTATGATATACTTTTTCCCCACTTTCGGTTTTACTTTGAGAAAAAAAATTCTTCATTTCTTTCATCATACAGTCAAATTATGGAGTAAAATTATTATTGTAAAGTGTCCATCTATGTTTTACACCATGTAGTAAATGTCTAATATTTTTCTTGAATTTTAAAATGATTTTGCTACTGATTGGAACAAATATATAGAATTCAGTATAATGTTTGTTACATATAAATTATATATCTCCCTGTAAGATGACTTGACATAGAATTGTTCATGTATGTCACATTAGCGTATGCATACATGCCGAGTTACTACTGAAATTAGCCAACTCTATGCAGCTGAGAAATAGGCATAACATCCCGATATGTCATTACTATTTCGGTAAACATCAACAAGCAATGCTAATCGAACCCTTAAACTTACTTAAGCTCTCTTCCATTACAGAGTATTTTTCCAAGTTCCCGTCCATTCCCAGGTTCATCTTTGGTTGATGTGTACTGTTCCAATAATGGATAAGAGTTGGATGATGATACAAGATCGGCTAAAAAGTAAAGAGTATTTAGAGGGTGTTCAGTCATTTATTGAGTTCGCTACAAAGAATTTAGGGCCGCAGGATGAGATCCGTTGTCCTTGTGTTGATTGCTTGAACGGCACAAAATTTAGTCGACACGTTGTACGGTTGCATTTGATTCGAAGAGGAATCACAATTTCTTATCGAACTTGGGTGCACCATGGGGAACATGCTCCCATATTTCGTGATCATCCTAGTATGCGAAACGATGATACCGAAACCAATGAACCTGGAATGACTGACAATCACGAAAATGTGGATGAACTTCCTACCATGTTAGAAGAGATTTACATGAGTGGTCTCATGGATGATAATATCGACGAAGAACGTACTAGTTCGGAGAGGCACAATTTGTTGAAGTTCATGAAGTTCTTCGATGATGCTCAACGCAAAGTATATCCAGACTGTGAAAAGTTCTCCATCTTGTCCTTCGTAATTAAGATGCTTCATTTGAAGGTGTACAATAAATGGAGCAACAAATCTTTCGACATGGTTATGCAAGTTTTCAAAGACATTCTACCAAACTGTGATGAAACTGTTCCATGGACTCTTTATGAAGTGAAAAAGTTCTTACGTGAATTGGGTTTGGGATATGAGGCCATTCATGCATGCAAAAACGATTGTACTCTATTTTGGAAGGACAACGCCACATTGGAGAATTGCCCTACATGTACGGAGTGTAGATACAAGTTGAACGACAAGACGGGTAAAAAAATTCCACACAAAATACTTAGGTACTTTCCTTTGACACCGAGGTTGAAGAGATTGTACATGTCGAAAAAAACAGCCGCATTTATGACATGGCACAAAGATAAGCGTGTGGATGATGGAGTACTACGACATCCAGCTGATGGTGAGGCATGGAAGGATTTTGATAGGTTGCATCCTACGTTCTCTGCGGATCCTCGGAATGTAAGACTAGGGCTTGCCACAGATGGTTTCAATCCACCAAAAGAATAATACAATTAACTAACTATCAAGCTAATTAATTATTACAGACAATTCACTAGCTAAGCAAATTAAGCAATAAAAACAGCCTCGGGAAGAGGGTCCAATGCAATGCGTGCTCAGTTCTGCTCGGAAACCCGCCACCATGCACAAGTCGCCTCTGTTTTCCCTGCTCTGCTCCTCTGAAAATTGTACAAGTCCCGGGATATGCTCTCTGCACACTGTGGAACACCACCGGCGGAGGGGAATGGCCACCGGCCAAGGGAAATGATCACCGGCCACAAAATTGATCCATCGGCCAACAATGATGGCCGGTCGGCACTGAAGATGGCCGGCCGGCCAAATCTTCCTGCAGAATCTGTGTTTGACAGCAGCAGAGGGCAAAACATGGCATGGTAATGCATTTCAAGAAAATGTATGCACCAACACATCCTTTATCATGTTTAAGACTCCAAGGGACATGGTCCTTGGTTCTCGGACTGAAAATTGCGCATTTCAATGCGTGATGGCCCAAGAAACCATGTATGCAATTTCAATTTCAAATGAAATGCAAACCAAATGAACACACAAGGAGCTCAACCTCTTTCATACTCAATTCAAGAGGCAAAGCATGCATGCTAAGATGATGCAACCTAGGCATAAGTGCTAAATATGCAACACGAGATGCAAACAAATAAGCATGCAAGGCATATGACATCAAGGCTAAGGTAAGCAAGGTATGAAGCAAGGTAACCAACAAGTATGCAAGACACAATGTGGGTGTTCAAGCATGTAAGCAAGCCTGTGACTTCATTCAATCATGCAACTTCAGTCATGCAACAACACACCAAATATGCAACAACATACAAGGTGAGCACGCAACAATCATGCAAAGGAGGGACTTACACTAATTGGACAGCCCTAAACTAGGTCCAAAACAGTGGCCAAGATGCTCAACCATGGAAGCCAAAACACATACAAATAGGCATGCATGCAAGGTCCAATACTTAGGCACATAAAGGCAACTTCCAAACACACTTAAAAGAAGCTAACATGGGCAAATGGCATGCAATATAAGCTCTGAATATGCATGAAATAGAGGTGCCAAACCAACTAATTAACACAAGCAATGCATGCTAGCATGGCCAAAACTCAAGGCAAGCTAAAGGGGTATTGGACCACACTTAGGAGGACCAAACATGGCATGAATTAAATGACCAAAATAGAGTTTTAGCATATTAAAACAAAGCCCAAAGATCATTTAGATGGCATCTAAATGACTTAAATCCAAGAGCATGCGCAATGACCAAACATGGAGCATAGGGCACAACCTTTTAAGGCATCAAAGAAGCATCAAAGGCAAGCATGCAAGCATGTCATGAGGACTGAAATGATGCTATAAGTGGTGCCAAACCACTAAAATAGATCAAACAATGCATGCTCAACACTTCACACACTTAAAGCCTACAAGCTAACAATGCAAAGGGGCTATGCAATACATGGCAAACATGGCTAAAACAACCAAGGGCAGACCTTAACCATGGAAAAACAAGTATGAAAGCTTTACAAAGCTAGGCCTAAAACATGCTTGAACAAGGGTTAAAACTTAGATGCATGTTAAGGCTAAAAGATGGCATTACAAGACATGTATGCAAGGCATGCAAGGTGTGTCTAAACCAACTCAACACAATGCTATTTCATGGCAAAATAAGCATAAATATCAGTAAAGGCATTGTCAACATGAACCTAAACTAGATGCTCTCTCAAGAGGCAAAAAAGGCCCTTTTCAAAGACAACAAGGAGAGGGGGTGGCCCTCTCCTTCTTGGAACCTCAAGGCACCATCCTCACCACTGAAATCTTGGATTTCAGTGGTGAGGAGGCCCAAACAGTATGATCCCGGAGCTTACCAAAAAAGGCACAAAATGGGGCTAAACAAGCCTTAAGAGGGGTCAAACAACCTCAAACACCAAAACACTCTTAAACAACTATTTAGAGCAAGCAAAAATAAAACTTGTATATGTTATACACCAAGTCTAAAAACAGTTTTAAGGTAATCAAAAGAGCTATGTAAAAAAGGGGTAAAAAGGGACAAGTTTCTTACCCTTGTAGACCCTTTTCACAAATGAAGCTCCAGCAGCTTCTTTGGCTCCAAACCAGCTCCAAGAACTCCAAGAACACTTCTCTGGCCCTCAGCAACCAAGAAAAGGTGTGATACTATGTGTTTGTGTGCAATAATAAGACTAAACACACACTTAGAACTAAAGAGAGGGAGAAATAGAGATAGGATGGATACAACACTCAAACCCCAAAACTCAAAGCTCTCTGAAAATGTTGTCTAACCTAGAGGAGGGAGAAGTGCCTCTTTCTTATAGGAGCTCCTTCTTGTAAGGCTTCCAAAACAAGCCATCCAAGAGAGAAATCCCTCCATACACGTGTATGGAGGGGAGCAGAGTGGGTGCCAGTTATCACAGCTGGCACAAAAATATCTGCAAAAGCAGATGAACAGTGGTCGGCCAGCCAAAAATGCAATTTGACCAAAATAGATGGCCGGTCGACCATCCATAGTGCCGGTCGGCCAAATATTTGGTTGGTGGCAACAAAACACAGCCGGTGGCTTCAAGCTATGGCCGGTGGAGTGTGGGGATAACCAACAAGCCATTCCCTGCCCTCCAAAGCAAAAACACAAGTGTTTGGTGCAAAACCAGACACAAAACAGTCGTGTCGAGAGATTCTGAGGCAAGGCGTGCAGCCGAGGCCTCCGGGAACTCAAGACGAACACAAACATGGATGATCACCGAGTGTTCACGCGGTGACATCCAAGTCTTGAGGACGAAATGAAGCATGCAAGGGGGTAGATGACCTCCAACAGAAAAATGATCTTAAACAGACATGTTAAGGGCCTCAAAATAAGACTTTTTTCAGTTTACACCAAAGCTCAAAAATGCTTGCAAGTATGGCTAAAAGATGGAGCAAAATAATGCTTAAAAGAGGGAAAATGTGTGTTACCCTTGAAGCTCAGCAAGACAACAACTTTGAGGCCAAAAACTCAGACCTTCAACCTCTGAAAATGGCCTCCAAGGACCTCAAAGCAATGGTGGAGGTGTTAGGCTAGGAGGTGGTGTGCAATAGGCCAAGAACCAAGCAACTTTTGAGCCAAAGTATAAAGATATAGGGAGAGATATATGGTATGCCTTCAAATAAAAATCTGAACCCTTAAAAAGGAAGAGGAGGCCTTCCTTTATAGACAAGAGGGACTAAAGCTTCTCCAAGAAGCTTCAAACCAAGGTGGAAGATCCTCCATACACGTGTATGGAGGATCCAGTCTGTGCCTCCCAGCTGGCACAACTGGAATCAACTCACTGAGACAAAACTGGGGGAGGTAGGCCGACTAGTTCAAGTGGTCGGCCAGCCACTTTAGGTGGTCGGCCAGCCAGTTCAAAAAGTTCAACTCCAAGAAAGGTGGTCGGCCAGCCCATTTGGTGGTCTCCCAACTGAATACAAGCTAGTGGTATGATGGGAGACCAGTAAATGTGGCTCAAAAACCAAAGAGACCAGCCTCCTATCAAGAAAATCGGCCGGTAAAGAGAAAGGTGGTATCCAAGAAGAAAAGGTGGTCTCCCACCCTAGTACCACCTTCCAAACAATGAAAATAAGGTCCATGCCAAAAATAAACTAAGACGGATGCAAAACGAGGGTTCGGGGGCCAAAACGCGCAACCGAGTGCCCTGAAAACTAACTGTTGAGCATCAAAAGTGTCGTGCAACCACAAAGGTGGTCTCCCGAGCCACAGTGTCCCTCTAAAGAGAGGAAACAAGGTGTGTGCCATAAATCGGAGCAAACGGAGAAAGTTAAGTGGTCCCGAACCGAAGCGCACGGTCGACGACTCCGAAAACTAGAAACTGATCTCCAAACGAGAATAGTGATCTACGACCACGAAAACTAGCCTACGGCCACTGACAGATGGTCTACGAGACCTCTCCCTCCCTTCGGGAAGAGAAAATAGAACCTGGTTCGCAAACCGAGGCAAAGCACAAAAAAGTCCCAAAGTCAGGAGGCAAGGCTCTCAGCCGAGACTCCATAACCTCAGAACGAGTACAACATACGCAATCACCGAGCGCTAAATCGATGACGTCTGTGTCTTAAGGTCGGTCAAAAATGGGGTGTTTATAGTTGCCCCTCTTTGACAGAACTCGAAAGTCATAACAATGACGGGAGTGAATGTCAAAGCCCAGAGACGACCCATTTTTGACAAGGCCAAAGGCTTGGACAATCAAACAAAATACTGATAAATAAATGGCTGTGCCCGCAGTCTGCCTACGTATCCCCTTTGCAAGGAATCAAACTAGTGTAGTTCTGAGGCAGGATGCAAATGATATGAAAGCAGACTTTGATAATTGGACTAATACGCTACGCGAAGCCGTTCTGAAAATTGGACTAATACGGTACGCGAAGCCGGCTTGAAAGTTGGACTTATGCAAAAAAAGGAATTGCACCTTTAGAGGATTTAAAGTCTCCTAGACCCGAGAGGGCACAGGACAGTGCGAGTGATACAAAAATACAATGTGCACAAGAAAGTGCGATGCTGAGTGGATGCACAAAACAGTGCTAAGAAGATGCACAAAATAGTGCTATACAGGTGCACAAGATAGTGCGATGCAATGCACTAACAAGTATAAGTAAAGTGCGCAAGATAGCGCGAAGATAAACTGCACAAAACAGTGCGCTGCGCAAGAAAGCGCGAGTGTAAACTGCACAAAACAGTGCGATGCAGCTCAGATGCACAAAACAGTGCGATGCGCAAAATAGCGTGAATGAGATGTGATGCACAAGACAGTGCGATGTGCAAAATAGCGCGATTGAATGTACAAGACAGTGCAATGCGCAAAATAGCGCGATTGAATGCACAAGACAGTGCGATGCACAAAAGAGCGCGAGTGTAACAATGTGATGCACAAAACAGTGCGATGCGCAAAAGCGCTGAGTGTAAACTGCACAAAATAGTGCGATGCACAAAATAGCGCGAGTGAAACAA